TTAAAGTAAAGACCTTTACAGCTAGCTTAGCAGTCATTACGAAGAATATCAGTATAGTTGCGCTGGTATGCCGAGTGTCTGAATATTTCAATTATAGTGCCAAGTCGTACAAAAAAAAGGGACTGCCATAAGCAGTCGCAATAGAAACTAAAAATGTCAACAAATAACTGAATTTCATAGCGGAATTGCTGAATTAGAACGTCAAAAGTTTAAATATCATTGAACGGCTCAATAGCGGAGCTGAGAGTCTTAATCAAAGGGCTAATTAGCAAATTGAAAGAGCTGAAGAATCCAATTGAAAGAGCTGAATAATCCAATTGAAGAGCTGGGCGAATGAACGGAATATCTGAAGTGCTTAATTGCTAAATTACAGTTCAAACGACTGACACGGTACAGGAAGAGCTATTCCATGAGCCAACGCCATAAATCGGAACAAGCAGCGGATTTGATGTAACAACCGAAGACCCAAATATCTGAATTAAAGTCTGGAATAGCTTAATAAAAGAGCTGAATAGCTTAATAAAAGAGCTGAATAGCTTAATAAAAGAGCTGAATGGTATGTAGTAATACGTTCGCTAAGCTCGATGTGTAAAGAAAACTATGTACATTTTTTCTTTTGGCAGATCTTTCTTCTCAGGTGAAAGGAAACCCATATAATTTGTTTATTCTGAAAAAAAATGTCTTCGTATTTCCGAATGAGCTTACAGCTAAATTGGTCAAGCTCAACTATGAAGATTCAAACTGTTAAACTTTAATCGCATACAAAGCAAGTCTTCTTGCTTAAAACACCTAAAATAATACGAGTGTTAACTAAAATCACTTATATTTAGCATTACGCGTAAAATATTAATACATATTTAATTGCTTAATGAAATGTGAAAAAAGTTTAGTAAGCATAACTATTTTATTCATTATTACAAACTGATTGCTTCAATGTACGTATGTGTTTGTAAGTGTTTCACTACGATAACGATAATAATAAAGAATAAAAAAAAAAATAATGATAATAATTAGCACAATCACAATTGGAAAAGAGGCAGGCGCGTGGGTATACATGCGGGCATGTTTTCTCGCCGCCACCGATGACGCGGACAATGTGCGACTTCCTCCTCCTCCTCCTCCTATTCGCCTATAGCAATAATCATCCGTTACAGCTCCTCCTAGCGCTCGTCGTTTTCTACGTTTCATTTCATAGCGTTTGCCATTCGCCCGCGCCATCGCAGCCGCTAATTAAATTACCTGCTCACAGTTGCAACGGCGACGCGTGCAACTATGATGTCTGGATTTGCGGGAATGCGCCGCTACAGCGACTGCATCCATTAGCTGATCCAGCTGCTGCAACTGCATTTGTTGCTGTTGTGCCGACGACATTGCCGCCGCCACTGCTGCCGCCGTCACCATCGACTCGCTCAGCGTTACTCACATTTTATGCAAGGCAGCTGCTGTTGCGCTCGGATTCTGCGTCAAATTTTCGTTAGACCAGGATGATTGTTGCGCTGCGGTTGAAGTGGATTTAGCGCTAGGTGGCGTCGATGTTTGCAAATCGAAGCGTGCGTAGAAGAGCAGGTACGGCGTAACAGTGATTTTGCGCGCGGGTGACAGCAATTCTTCGAATTCGCGTTGGGTCATCGCTTTGATTTTGTCATCGTCACACATATACCAAATGGGTTCGCCATTGCTGCTGCCGGCCGCAGAAAGACTGCCACAGCTAGACGCATAACCGCCAAAAGCGCTAGCTTTCGTACCACCACGTCCTGTGCTGCCATAACCGGCTGGGTAACTGCTGTAGCCGCTCGTTGTGCTGCTGGCAGCACTGCCAGTAACGCTACCACCGCCGCCAGCATTACTGCTACCACTGACACTCATGGACGCTGAGGCGTGATTCGTACCATTCTGCAGTGTCTCTTCACTCAACTCACTATTGCTGGCGCTCAATTGATGTTGCTGCTGCTGCAGCTGTTGCTGTTGTACGCTGCAAATGCGTGTTGCACAGCAACTCAAACTGTGGCATGTGGTATTCATGCTGAGCTTGCCAATACCATTCGTGATGGTTTTGCTCGTGATGCCATTCAGGCTTTTCACATTTTTACTCATATCACCGCTGCTAGATGCTTTGCTGCGTCCAAATTTCATCTTTTTCATCAGGCTGGAGCCCGATGAAGCGAGCACCGAGGCGGCCGCGCTTGCCGCTGATGCAGCTTGTGTTCCGGGACTGCTGCGTTCGCTTGGCGTGGAGCCGCCACCAGACGCCGCTGAACCGCCGCCCAACGGATAGAGACTATTATTTGACAGACCGTTTGCTTGGCCGCCCATTTGCTGTGAACCGCTATTGCTATTAGCATTTCGCCTATCCTTCGGGCAGTTCAAATATTCGTTGGCCCACTCAAGTGAACAGGTGTAAGCGATATAGTGACCCACGGACATTGTGGCGCCCACATGTGTTATAACGCTGTATAGCTTGTAGATGTGCAGCTTGTTGGCGTCGCTGAGCTCGCAGCATTTGGCACAAAAACACTGCAACGTGAACGAAGTGGGAATGTAGCTATTGATCTTTTCCATGCCGCCGGAGAAACGACTCAACTGGATAATCAACAGGCGCGGTAACACTTCATACGAAATGGAGCGTATGGCTTCGGTGTAGCCTGTGCACTGCTCGCAGCGGTATTTATTCTCGCCACGAAAGAATTCGCGGGTAACGCATGAATTCTGTGTAAAACAGTACAAAAACACATATTTAGGGTTAGCAGGGTTACTATATATGTAGTCAACTGTAAACATTTTAGTTTGCATTTCAGTTTTGTATATTCACATATATTTGCAAACAAATAGAGAAAGCACGGTCCCTTTTACCTGTATAAACGCACTGGGTTTGTCCGAGTAATCGGCGACGTCATAGCCGGAAATGGGCACCGGTACTGCTATATCGATCATGCTTTCTTTCTGCTCCGTCACCGTTTCACAGCTCAAGCACTTGGTAGTGGAGACAGTTACACCTTCAAAATCTTCGCTAAAAAAATCCAAGCCCAATTCGCGTATCTTCTCAGCTAAACGTTCTTTATCCTTCAACATGCTGACAGGTGACGAAAGTTCACTGTTCGAATCATTGCCCGCCGAGGTGTTGTTAGCCACACCTTTCACTGTGGCGCTTGGGCTGCTTGCCGATGCATTGGCTGCTGTTGCTGACGCGCCGCTGAGGTCTACAGAGTTCAAGTAGAATAAGCTGTTGGAAGTTGCCTGCAGACCACCACTCTGACCATCCTTCAGAGGAGATTGTAGACGTGAGTTTTTGGAGTTTTTCGATTCCTCTTTTCGCTTAGATTTGCGCGAGAAGAATGACGCTTTCGTTATGTTGCTTGTGCTGAGACTAGACGACGATGAATTGGTGGCATTGGTTGCGGTGGACGCACTGCTACCACCAGCAAGGGCGTTGCTGCTGCTTGTGGTGGCTGTGACACCACCAGTGAGTGCGTCACGTTCGATAGTGTAGGCATCCAATTCGTCGGGATTGCGAATGTAACTACACGAAGTAATTAATTTTATGAAGTTGATTCAATTATTGTGATTAATGGAATATTTAATATTATGTATATTAGTTTCTGAAAATCCATTTATTAATACAACTCACCCATTCATTATTAAATCGGGATACTCGCCAATTGCTTTTATCAGCAGCTGACAAGTCTCTCGAATGCTATTCAACAAACACATTAGAAATTCATGCGCATCCTGCTGTTGATTTCCTTCAAAAATTGCATTCACATCCTGTACCGCATGCAGCAGGGTATCCGCATGGAAGGGCTCCGTCGATTCGGCCAACTCGTTGCGATGCAAACACTGGTAAAGCTCATGCAAACGTTCAGTCAACATTTGATGACTACTCTTTTGTCCAATGCCGCCACCACAGCCGCCCACGCCACCACCACCTACACCGGCACTCATTAGCGCATTCTGCTCGAGTGCCGCTAAATCTTTGCTGCTCCAACTGCGCGCATTCTCTAGCTGCACCGCACTAATGCCGCGCCCCAGCGACGACGACTTGGCGGCACGTTGTCGCGCAATACACTGTTGTATGCTCGACAAGTCGACTATCAAATGATGGAGATTATGTAGAAACTGTGGAGCAAAACGCAACGTATACACCACCGAATTCAGGTAGCAAGTGTTGCCAATGTTGCACAGCGTCGCCATGGATGGTGCATGATTAAGTGCGCTGCCGTTGCCGAGCTGTACGCCTGTAACGACACCGCTGCCGCTGCTGCTGCTGCCGGCGAGCCCACTACTAGAGACTGATGCCACGGGCATATAGTACTGTTGGCTGATGTCCTGGGTATTGTCAGCGTCCGAGTGTACGGCACTAGATGAGGCAGATGAGGTGCGCGTCGAGCTAAGGTAGCCGTTCGTGACTACGCCCGCGCCTGCACGCGCCTCTGCATCAGTGGTTTGGTAGCGACGCTCGTAGAGCGACATGCTGCAACGTCCGCGTTTTTTGCCGCTGCCAACGGTTGAGATTGGCGCAGAAGCACTAGATGTGGTTGAGGTTGTTGGTGCTAGCGCTGTTGTTGTAATACTGGTTGAAGTTGAGACGCCTGTTAACTCAGCAGTGACTGTAGTTGACACTTTAACAATGCTGGTACTGGCGATAATTTCCACTGCCGGCGCGCCAATGCAATTGAGCGCAGGAAAATCAAAGCCTGCTGGAGATAAGTGCACCGCGGGCGGCGGAGTGTGTTTATGTGTGATGCTATTGCGCTTGCGTGCTACTGCAACGCTACTGTCGCGCTTACGCTTACTGCCGGCTTTTTTCACCTCAACTTCGAGTGGTTCGATTTTGTTCAGCAATGCTTCATCCAAGTTATACCAGGCTGCGGAGAAGTTCGGTAAGAAAATATATACATATATACATGCAAATAGTATAAGTGTTAATATCTTTGATTATCATACCTGCGTGCCTTTTTACTTGCTGATCACTGCTGCTGGTGGTGCCCCTAGTACCAGGCGCTGCTGACTTTTGCTGCTTCCTCTTATTCTTGGCGCTATCCTCTTCTGGCTTTTTTCGATTGCGTAATGTCGCTAATCGTGCAGCGGTTTCCTTACTGTTGACGCGTACTTTTGCTGCAGCCGACGCAGCTGCTGCTGCCGCCGCTGCTTTGGCTCTAGCTCTGTTCTTGCGGCTGCTGAAATTGGTGACGCTGCGCCGCCTGCGTAACTGACGTTTACCCCCAGCACTGACTGGTGGGCGTGGAGTAGAAGTTGCACCAACGCCGGTGCTACTTGCGCCAACTCCAGCAGCGCTTGTGTTACTTGCAGTTGTACCCGATTTGCTGCTAGCGCTGGTGGCTTGTAACTCTGCTTCCAGACAAGTCTCGATAACAACGGGATAGAGTGTTGAGAAATAAGGCGGACAATAGAACTTTTTCGAGGTTCTTGACTTAGTTGGGTTTTTGTCGGCAGCTACTTTAATTACTGCTGTTGTTGTTGTTTCTGATGGGGGTTTCGCACAGCCTGTGCTGGTACGTTTTTTAGTTCTTTGTCTGCGTCGCCGTTTTCTGCGATGTAGTTTGGTTTTTAATGTTTGTTTTTGTGTTTGCTGCTGTGTTTGTTCTAATTCTGCTTTGCTCTTCTTCTTTTCTTGACCTGCTGGTTGTGTAGTAGTAGTGGATTTTGTTGGTGTAGTACCTCGTATATCGTTTTCTGAGTTTATTATAATTATTGTTTCTGTTGTTGCGGTTTTAGCTGTTTGTATTGGAAGACACACCTCGTCGTTAATTAATTTTTTTGCAGCATTTCTGGGCATTTTTTGAACACCTGGAACGATTTTAAAACATAAATAAATAATTGTATAACAACCTCCGCCAAAAATGCCATAGACTTTTTTCATGCAAAATTTTATTATCTACATTCAATAGCTCGCCGTAGATGTGATGAGCTGCTACAGACATGACAGATGGAAGAAAAAAGACATACTCGCCGAAGAAGAGTAAATTTTACGAAAATGAAAATGAGAAAGAAGACTTGAAGTAATCTTCCTTCAGCTATAAAATATTTCGGTCCAACTTCTGATACTGAAGAGTGTGCGGTTGAACGGTCCTTCAATTGAACTAAACCTTTGTGTTTGTGTTAATGTTGCTCCTTCGGCTACCTGGTTCTTCTTGTTCATGAACAGGCATGGACAGAGAAAGAGCAAGTGCTTAAAGAGCGTAAACATGCCATGTACGCCCACAAACGAGATCGGAACAATGACGCGCGACAGCATGCAACAGAAAATTAGGCACACTTAACGCTCTCACTTTAAACTCAAGCTGGTTAAATAATGCAACGAACCAGCGAGCAAAAAGAACAACTTGTTCGTTTGATGGATTTCGCCGACCTAAACGGAGTTAGATCGGTAGAGAACCCCACTCAGCTGACGCCCCTGTCCCACAGCCCCTGTGTGACAGCCCCTGTGGAAGTCGCACACTTCTTGGGCCTCCCCCTAGCTGGAATTGACGACAACGTTGATGGATGAACCGACCCGAATGGGGCTTAGTAGCCGCTACAACAACAACAACAACAACTTGTTCGTTCATCAAAAAAGGAACTTAAATTTTGAAATGAGCTAATAAAGTTCAACCCTAATATGTATCAAAATTGTCCCTCCCTCGTATTGTTTTGGGCAATTGGAGGGACATGAGCATTGTCCCTGTACAAGGGGTTGGATTCTTCTTAATCGAACGCTTGTTAACATTTTTTATTCCCGACTTTGAAGGAACCACCTGAAGTCTTGAAACAAATTGCTTGAAAAACTACCGAACGCTTGTTAACATTTTTTATTCCCGACTTTGAAGGAACATCCTGAAGTCTTGAAACAAATTGCTTGAAAAACTACCATTTTGTTTTTTTTTTTAATTTTGAATCAAACTTGTTTTTAGTTTACCTTTCTATTTTTTTATCTTTATATGTATTTTTTTTTTTGTTGTGTAGGTTTTGATTTGTTTTTATCGTTTTTATTTTCATTTAGTTTTGGATTTTTCTTTTATTTATTGTTTTTAGTTTCCCTTTTTATCACTATATTTTTCCCCAATTTCTCTATTTTCTAATTATGTATGATTTTTTTTTGTTTTTTGATATAATTTCTTAATTTTTTTTTCTTTTATATTCAACAATTTTGTTTTTATGAAAAATTGTGTGAAAAAACAATAATAATTTACATATAGGTAAAAGTTATAGCTGCTGTTTCGGAGATCACCACGTCCCCTCATCAGACTTCTTCACTGGGATTCGATACAGCGACCCCAGTGTACAAAGCCAATGGTCTACCCACTGAGCTAAGTTCGCCTTGTAAACTGTTGTTTTGTTTTTTCTTTTTTTTCTTTTTTTTATTTCTTGTTTTCTATTTATTTTTTCCCCGTTTTGTTTTTTATATATTTTCTTGTTTATTTGTTTATTTGATTTTTAGTTATGTTTCAGTTTTTTACCGTACTCTTTATATATACAAGTATTAGGGCTGTGCGATTAATTGATTATTCAAAATTTTAATTAACCATAAAGTAAATAACTCAATTATTCGATTAATTGGAAATTATGATTACTCAAAAGTTCAATTACTCGAGTAACCAAAATTTTGATTAACTAAAAACAAAAATATATGAGTAATATGCTTTATGATTAATGAGTAAAATGAGTAATAAACATTTCAAAGTACTGTTTACATATTGAGCCCTAACCGCCAAATAACGTAAGCGACATTTTTTTCAAAATTTTATTTTTGATGCAGAAATGCATCTAGATGCTCTAGGAATATTTCTGCATCAAAAAGAAAATGTTGAAAAAAATGTCGCTTACGTTATTTTGGCGGTTAGGGCTCGATATAAAGCAGTTGAAGTTCCTTGATAACTTTGAAAACAACGTTTCTGGTTTCAAAAATAATTTTTTCATGTACAGAATGTAAAAAAGAAAATAAGCATTTTTCAAAGCAAACTCATTTAACGAGCAAAATTAATTTTTTTGAGTAATCATTTATCAAGTCATCGTTAATCATCGTTTTGAGTAATCAAAATCTTGATCAATCGAGTAATTGATTAACCGGAAAACTGATTAGTAATGTATTAGTAATTAGTAGTGTCGAGTAATCGAATAATCGCACAGCCCTAATATGTATGTATTTTAATCCTCCATTTTTTTTTAATTTTCTGGGTGTTTTTTTTATTTTATTTAAAAAATTTGTATTTTTATATTTTATACATGAATTTATTTTTTATCTTTTTCAATGGTATTTATCTTTTCGATTTTTTATTTTTAAGGAAAGGTGTTACCTCACAGGTGGTCCCACATACGAATTTGATTTAAATCCGATCATTCCAGCATAAAGAAATTAACGATAACCTTTACTTGTTTAATTTTCCGTTTTTATGTTCATTTAGTTTTTGATTCCTTAAATGTTATTTAGGTATCACGAACACCCTGTAATCCGGACACTTCTACAAAACGGACACTTTCACCACATTTTTTACCCTACTCTTCGGACAATAAATAGGAAAATATGTATTTTGTATTCTGGCAAAATTTTTCGTACGCAGCTACACATGTAGTTTTTGGTTCAACTTTATTCATAGGTATATTATTGCGCTAATTGTCATAGGAAAAGCCTGCAGTTTTCGCCGACTTCGAACGGCGATTGTATTTTTATGAGAAGCTGTTTTTCATGGCAGAAATACACTTGGAGCTGAGAAAAAAAAAACGATTTTTGTTTATTTTTTTTTTATTTTTTGATGTTGGGTTCAACCGGGCTTGTATAAGTACATAATTAATTGGCAAAAATGTTCATATTGTCATTCATCAACTATAATCCGGTCACTCCCAATAACGCACGGCCTCAGGTTTAAGGCTTTCTGGATTACCGAGATGGCACTGTACATTTTTAATTTTTTATTTTATACTCGTACCTACTATAAAAACTTTGAGCAAGTTCATTTAGTTTTTCAAACTATTTTTTCCTTTCTTGCCATTAAAACTTTCAACAAACCTCATCTTTTCAATCACTTTTTGCATCACACCGGCAAAAATCAAATAAAGTAATCTTCTTTCTGCTATTCACACCAAAGCTTGTAGCACATTCGCAAACTAGCAAGGAAGGTATTTTCTATTTCTCCTTGAAGGTCATTAGGTTAGTGACCAATTACGATACAAAACAAAAAATACGTAGCTGATAACCACGCGTGCCACTATCACTGCATGGCAATTTTTGATAGTGCCTGGCCCTCTGTTCAAGCTTAACTGAGTTGACTAATATGAAAGTTGACTGCCGTTGTTACCAAAGATCCATCACCACTACTGTTATGTCTACAAAAGCGCGAGCCACATGTGAGCGTGTTTTTTTTTTTAACGTTGATGCTTATCAGCTTTCATTAAGGTTTTACTTTACATGCTCTTTCTTGTTTTTTATTTTCTGAATAAGTAAATAAATAAATACTTAACACCTTCTTTTGCGATATGCAACATTCACACAATAAATCTATTAAATAATCGTAAATGATGATTACATATTTGATTGCAAAGTGAAGGATGCGATATCTATCAACTACAATGTTACAAACGCATTAAGAATATACAAAGTGGTGTACATCTGTAGAAGCATACGAGCAACTTTGGTTCCGCGCGCCCGGCATGTGGTGGGAGGGCAGCAACTGCCATTTAGATTTCCAGCACTCGAAGGTGGCTTGCTTGCTCGTTATATTCAAGGTCTCTGTGATAAACCAATCAGTTGTATTTTAATTTTCATTTTCTTCTACTTATTTTTATGCATGCATACTTATGCATATTTTTTTTTTTTTTTTTTTTTTT